AACACCAAACGTGTCATTGTGTACATTGGAGGGGGAGAGTACAATGAGAAAATCACCATTCCGCGGAATAAACCATTTGTTACATTTTATGGCTCTCCAGCAAATATGCCAACTTTGACCTTTGCTGGCACATCCCAAAAATATGGAACAGTGAACAGTGCCACAGTGATTGCTGAATCTGACTACTTTGTGGCATCTAATGTTATTATTAAAGTATGTAAATTTATCACATCAACATTTCACATGATATTATCATCACACGCAATAAATTTTTATTGACATTCTTTTATTATTTTTGAGTGGGGATAAAAATTTGCGTTGATTTGTAATTGTGAAGAACTCTTCGCCAAGGCCAGATGGGAAAAGAGTGGGAGCGCAGGCAGTGGCATTGAGGGTGTCGGGGAACAAGTCAGCCTTGTACAATTGCAAGCTTATTGGTTTCCAGGACACCCTTTGTGATGACAGGGGCAATCATTTGTTCAAGGACTGCTTCATTGAAGGCACTGTGGATTTCATATGGGGAAGTGGAAAGTCTCTCTATTTGGTAATGCCACCCAACCTCTCCCTATAATTCCTCAATGAAAGGAGAATCTATTGAGGAACTCTATATGCGAGTCTGGTCATATAATAGTGAACTTCACATACATGTTGTAAGATAAATGTTATATGTACGATTAACTCATCAGTATAATTGAGCTTGTTGATGGTCTATATTATGCCATGGTTTTGATGGTTAATGAATTAATGGGTGCAGAACACTGAGTTACATGTGCTGGGGGATAATGGATTAACAGTGATAACAGCACAAGCAAGGGACTCAGCTTCAGAGGATACTGGATACTCATTTGTCCACTGCAAGATTACTGGGACTGGAAGTGGCACATATTTGGGCAGGGCTTGGAGGACCAATCCCATGGTGGTCTATGCCTACACCAGCATGACCAAGGTCATCAACCCTGCCGGATGGAGCGACGATAACCACCCCGAACGTGACAGGTAAGTAAATTAAAAAACATTAATTAAGCATTTTCATATAATTGATTGGTTTTTAGACTTAATAAATATTTATTATTAATTTTTTTTTTTTTTTTTGGTGTGTATGTGGCAATATTATAGCACGGTGTTCTATGGAGAGTACAAGTGTTCGGGTCCAGGTTCAAGTGCTGCTGGGAGAGTAAAATACACCAAACATTTGACAGACGAACAAATCAAACCTTTCCTAAGCCTTGGCTATATTCAGGGTTCCAAATGGCTGCTTCCTCCTCCAAATCCCAAAGTGTAGATATTGGATATAGTTTTCTTAACTGTACAGGTACGATTGAGAAAGCCAACCGCAGGCCTCATGCAAAATGTACATGAGCTAGCTATATAGTAATGTATAAAATCAATATTATGATTTAATTTGTGAAGATCTTCCTCTATACAATTTGAGCATAGTTTGTCGATTTGATTGGTACAAAAGACACATTAACATTTATTAATGCTTATGCTCCTAAGATCTATAATGTAGTACAAAAATTAAAAAAAGGACCCCTCCTTTTAATTTTCACATAAGAAATAAGTCGTGCATGCGCAAAGAGTTATTTTAAGCGTTGACTAGATTCCAACTGAACTTGCTTGATGATGAGTGAGATTTTGTGCTTTTCTCTTTCTAAAACATCCGGATCATATGGAGAATAAAAATCAAGTATAATCTAATATAATGGTTCCACAATTTAGTAATTAAAGTTCAATTCTGAAACATTTGGGATGGAAAAGCTTGTTTGTTGACCATTTTTTGGTGCTAACAGAATAAATGTAATTTATCGATTTGTTATGGATCAAATATACATGTCTGAGATTTTGGGGCTGAGAAACTGTACATGTCTCAAGATTTTATCAACATTATGCGGAGTAGAACTCTCATATTCAACATATTATATATGAGGTCATCGGTCTCCATCAATTGATCAATTGTCTAACAACATAACATATCAAACTATTGTAAAACGAATTTAACTTCAACCCCAGCAAAATGTGATAAATAATATATTACATAACCATATCTACATTTCTCATAAAAGATGCCATTAATCAAGTAAAATTTTCTATTGCCAGACTGTGAGTTCGTATAACGATTTTGTTGAATCTGTACGCACGATATTCAGTATGGCAACTCAACATTACTCTTATATATTTGTATAAACACAGTATAACTACATGTAGAGAAAATTAACAAAGTAATACATTTTTCAGCTTCAATGGCGACAAATGGTATTGAAGAAAACCCCATGAGCACAAGCTTCTACATGGTGAGATCCAACAGCAGAATAGTCTCCTTATTCGACAAATGGTACGCCTGGAAAACTAATCCACCAGATTGAAAGAGGATGAGGATGTTGGACACCTTTACTTCAGTGGCTTCTGTGAAGTTAGCAGGGTTCAGAACTGTCACAGCCGTCCATGCCAATTGCTGCCGGACTATAGGTGCAAAGGTGGCTGATCTGACGGCTGTGGTTCATGATTGGAAGAGGTTCAAGAGTTGATCTAATTCCAAGACAATCACTGATGCCGTTAATAGGATTCTTGCCGGCAACACCAAAAGTGTCGTTGTGTACATTGGAGGGGGAGAGTACAATGAGAAAATCACAATTCCGCGGAATAAACCATTTGTTATATTTTATGGTTCTCCAAAAAATATGCCAACTTTGACCTTTGCTGGCACAGCCCAAAAGTATGGAACTGTGAACAGTGCCACAGTGATTGTTGAATCCGACTACTTCGTAGCAACTAACCTTATTATTAAGGTGCGTAAATGTATCATGTTACGTGATATTATCATCATGCGCAATAATCTTTTATCAATATTCTTTTAAAAAATTTGTTTCCTTATTATAATTTGTGTTTGTGAAGAACTCTTCGCCAAGGCCATATGGGAAAAGAGTGGGAGCACAGACAGTGGCATTGAGGGTGTCGGGGAACAAGTCAGCCTTGTACAATTGCAGGCTGATTGGTTTCCAGGACACACTTTGTGATGACATGGGCAATCATTTTTTCAAGGACTGCTATATTGGAAGGCACGGTGGATTTCATATTTGGAAGTGGAAAGTCTCTCTTTTTGATGCCACCCAAACTCTCCCCATTATTCCTCAAGTTTTCTTTGGTTTCAATTCTCTTTTGTTTCCGATTTTATTAAATTGTTTTAATTTGTTCTAATTAATTTTTTTGAAATAATTAATAGATCAACACAAACAGCAAAGAAGATGAGCTTGAATCAGCTTTATATAAGGCTTCCAAGGGAACTTACAAGACTGTGATAATTGCGATTGTTGAAGCGTACGTAGAAGGAGATAAGCCAATGCGTGATTTATTTTTAGATGGGTTTCTGGCATGGAGAAGGCACACGAGGCTTGATTTCTCAACTTCTTCTTTTGGCGGTCGATCAAACATCTTTCAAAAGTTGTAAGTTTCTCCATCTTCACTGCCACAAGCTCGAAGCAGATGATCCTGCCGATTTTGAGGCTGAGAAACTGTACATGTCTCAAGATTTTATCAACATGATGTGGAGGAGAACTCTCTTTCTCAAAGAAATGCTTGAGCGAGGCTATAGTTTCATATTCACGGTAAGTTTTCTAACTTACAGATATACAATGTGATTCAACGAATTACATATGAGGTCGTCGGTCACGATTACTCGACCAATTGCTAACAACATAATATGTCATAATACTCTTGTAAAATGAATTAACCAAGCAAAATGTGATATATAATGGTTATTATGGTTACATGATACATTACTCGGTAAAAGAAGTGAACTTGCTTGGTCAATATATTATATATCACATTTCTCGTATTCCGATTTTGTTAAATCATGTATTCACATTACTCGGTTAAAGAAGTGAACATTACTCTTATATATTTATATAAATGCAGTATAATCACGCGTACATGGAGCAAATTAATAAAGCAATACATTTTTGTGTGTTTACATTTATATGAACTCATCCAGACTTATATATATTTTAACCTTTCATTCCCAGACATAGATGTGATGTGGCTAAGGAACCCCTTTCCAAGGCTAATTAGCTTCAACGAAAACATAGATCTTCAAATCAGCACCGATAGCTTCAATGGTGATCAATTGTCTGAAGCAAACCCCATCAACACAGGTTTCTACATGGTGAGATCTAACAACAGAACAATCTTATTCAAAAAGTGGTATGCCCAGAAAAACTACTCAACCAAATTGAAAGAGCAGGATGTTTTAAATGGCATGATGAAGGAAGGTGTTTTTAGAGAGTTAGGCCTCAGCGTGAGGTTTTTGGACACCCGTTACTTCAGCGGCTTCTGTGAAGTTAGCAGGGACATCAAATCTGTCACAACCGTTCATGCCAATTGCTGCCGGACTATAGGTGCTAAGGTGGTTGATCTGACGGCTGTGGTTCACGATTGGAAGAGGTTCAAGAGCTTATCTAATTCCAACTCGACATCGACTTTGAAATGGACTAACCATGTAGCCTGTAATCGGTCCTGGAAGTGCAAAGTGACATGGGGCTAGGTTTTTAATTGCTTCACTTCTAAATGATCATGAAAATAATTAAAGACAGATTTTTTATTATTTTATAAATGTATGGTCACCCAATCAAGAGGATTAATTGTCTCAGTGACAACTGCACTCTTTCTATAAAAAAAAAAAATAATCGTTGAAAGAGTTATTGAATTTGAGTGAACTACATTTTTTCTAAATGAGACGAATTCCCATAAATAAGATGAACTTCCTAAAATTAACACTAAATTGAGATTTTACATGGGATGGTTAAGAAAAACTCTCTTAATTATGTCCTCTTCCGTCCCAAATTAAGCTGCTATTCAAAGTGTGGATCTGAAATCCCAATGAACATTAGCCACTAATTGAAACCAAAATGTGCGAGAAGCTCTCCAAGTTTCGCAAATTTTGGATGAATCCCTCTAAATAGTGGACTATAAAATCAAATTCGACCATTCTAATCAATAGCACCCAAAAACATACAAAACCTCAAAACCAAAAATCCAAAAAATATTAAAAATTAAAATGGCCGGAAAACCAACATGCATGGGTGTCAACGCAGCTTTAACCATGACATTAATTCTCCTCACTGCCACCATAGCCATGGCGGATGATGATACACCGGTACCAGCTGAGCAAACCCAAGTCAACACATGGTTCAATAACAATGTGAAGCCGTACACAGAACAGAAGGGCACGCTTGACCCTGCCCTTGCAACGGCTGAGGCTGGTCAAACAATCATCAAGGTCATGAAAGATGGAAGTGGACAATTCAAGACTATTACTGACGCCATTAATAGCATTCCGGCTGGCAACACCAAACGTGTCATTGTGTACATTGGAGGGGGAGAGTACGAAGAGAAAATCACAATTCCACGGAACAAACCATTTGTTACATTTTATGGCTCTCCAACCAATATGCCAACTTTGACCTTTGGTGGCACAGCCCAAAAGTATGGAACTGTGAACAGTGCTACAGTGATTGCTGAATCTGACTACTTCATGGCAGCTAATGTTATTTTTAAGGTATTTAAATTTATCAAATCAACATGTCACATGATATTATCATCACACAATAAATATTTGTTGACATTCTTTTATTATTTTTGTGTGGGGATTAAAATTTGCATTGAATTGTGGTTGTGAAGAACTCTTCGCCAAGGCCAGATGGGAAAGCAGTGGGAGCGCAGGCAGTGGCATTGAGGGTGTCAGGGAACAAGTCAGCCTTGTACAATTGCAAGCTTATTGGTTTCCAAGACACCCTTTGTGATGACAAGGGCAATCATTTTTTCAAGGACTGCTTTATTGAAGGCACCGTGGATTTCATCTGGGGAAGTGGAAAGTCTCTCTATTTGGTAATGCCACCTAAACTCTCCTTATAATTCCTCAATGAAAGGAAAATCTATTAAGGAACTCTATATGCGACTCGTCATATGATAGTGAATCTCATGTACATGTTGTAAGAGGAACGTTATATGTACGATGAACTCATCTGTATAATTGAGCTTGTTGATGGTCTATATTATGTCATGGTTTTGATGGTTAATTAATTAATGAGTGCAGAACACTGAGTTACATGTGGTGGGAGATAATGGATTAACAGTGATAACAGCACAAGCAAGAGACTCAGCTTCAGATGATACTGGATACTCATTTGTCCACTGCAAAATAACTGGGACTGGAAATGGCACATATTTGGGCAGGGCTTGGAGGATCAGTCCCATGGTGGTCTTTGCCTACACCAGCATGTCTGAGGTCATCAACCCCGTCGGCTGGAGCAACGATAACCGCCCCGAACGTGACAGGTAAGCAAATTTATATACACTAATTAAACAGTTTCATATAATTGATTGGTTTTTAGAGTTAATTAATAATTATCAATAATTTTATTATTATTATTATTTTATTATTTTTATTTTATTTTTTGTATGTGGCAATATTGTAGCACTGTGTTCTATGGAGAATACAAGTCTTCGGGTCCAGGTTCAAGTGTGGCTGGGAGAGTAAAATACACCAAACATCTGACGGACGAACAAGTCAAACCTTTTCTAAACCTTGGCTATATTCAGGGTTCCAAATGGCTGCTTCCTCCTCCAAATCCTAAAGTGTAGATATTGGACATAGTTTTCTTATATATATATATATATATGTATGTATGTATGTATGTTAATATACGATTGAGAAAGCCGGTGGCACGCCTCATGCAAAATGTACATGAGCTAGCCATATAGTAATGTATAAAATCAATATTATGATCTAATTTGTGAAGATCTTCCTCTATACAATAGTTTGTCGATTTGATTGGTACAAAAGACACATTAACATTTATTAATACTTACTGTTTATACCAAAATGAACGACCAATGAGAATCGGGCGTGGACAAGATTGGGTCTATGGTAGCCTTCGATACATTTATTCAGCACCCAGCCTACCGATCCAGCAATTAGGGCAACCTCCTCCTCTAGGACACGTGGCAAGCCCACAATCAATGTCTATAGTCCCATATCGAAATTCTACACAACTTGCACACCTCCCAAGGTCTATAAAAGAAGCACAATTCCCCAAAATGGAGGTAATCAGAACTCACGACATATTGTCTATTGATATGTAATTCAACTTTACTAAATCCGTACTTACTCAAGCATCGGAAAGCCTTCTGCCAGTACTATACTGGTGCCCTAGGTCTTCCCGAGCGTTTGTTATCTTGCAGATCACGCGCTCTGCCGAGGCCCAGAGCATACCGAAGGCCCAACATCACTAAGTTGCGCGGGAAAGTGCCGAATCATTTTTCTGCGTCAACACTTACACTCCACTTTTCAAGGTTCTAAGATCTATAATGCACGTACAAATAAAATAATTAAAAAAAAAATGGAATCCTTTTTAATTTGGGAGTTTCACTAAAACACATAAAATGGGGATTGAAATTATAAAAAAACCCAAACACTATTTAAACATAGAAACACATCCAAAACCCATCATTACACACACTCAAAACCCATTTATAAACACACCCAAAAAGCTCACTTTGGGATTGATTTTGGGTGTGTTTCTATATTTAAATAGTATTTGGGTTTTTTTATAAATGCATGCCTAGAATTGGGTTTTTTTATAAATTTGTATTTTAATTTTCACATAAGAAATAAGTCGTGCATGCACAAAGAGTTAGGTTAAGCCTTGAATAGATTCTAACTGAACTTGCTTGATGATGAGTGAGATTTTGTGCTTTTCTCTTTCTAAAACATCGGATCATGTGGAGAATAAAAATCAAGTATAATCTAATTTAATAGGTTCCACAATTTAGTAATTAAAGTTCAATTCTGAAAATTTTGGGATGGAAAAGCTTGTTTTGGTGCTAACAGAAGAATAAATTGTAATTTATCGATTTGTTATGGATGAAATATACGTCACTCACATTGTTTTAAAATGAATTTGTGTGTATGGTCTTTGAATTGTAAGGATAATTAAGGGTGGACACAAAATTGCAAGGAACAGAAACCTCTTGTTAATGAGAAGTAGTAGAAATTAAAATGTGCCAGAGAAACTCTCCAATAATCATGCCTTAGCTTATTCACTCATGCATCATGGACTATGGAACCAAACACTCTAGCTCATTAGCACCCAAACGAACATGATAGTTTTCAGGAAAGCTTAAGTTTTTGGTAATTTTTTATGCTTTCTTTCCCATTTGGATTCAGTTTGTTTTTTCCTTTTGTTAACTAGATTGCCTTATGCTTCCTGGTTGAATTAATTAGGATTTCCAATGCTTGATTTATTTTTAGATGGGGTCTGGCTTGGAGAAGACACACGAGCTTGAGGCTTGATTTCTCACCTGCTTCTTGTTGCATGCACGGTCGATCAAACATCTTTTGAACGTAGTAAGGTTCTCCACCTTCACTGCCACAAGCTGGAAGCAGTTGAGCAAGCCGATTTTGAGGCTGAGAAACTGTACATGTCTCAAGATTTTATCAACATCATGTGGAGGAGAACTCTCATATTCAACATATTATATCATATGAGGTCTTCAGTCTCTATCAATTGATCAATTGTCTAACAACATAACATATCATACTATTGTGAAATGATGGGTTGCAGATAAGGTAAGTTGAATTTGAAAGGTGTAAGCCAAATTTACTATAAAATTTTCTATTGCCAGACTGTGAGTTCGTATAACGATTTTGTTGAATCTGTACTCACGATACTCAGTATGGCAAACATTACTCTTATATATTTGTATAAACACAGTATAATTACACGTAGAGAAAATTAAGAAAGCAATACATTTTTTAGCTTCAATGGCGACATATGGTACTGAAGCAAACCCCATCAGCGCAAGCTTTTTCATGGTGAGATCCAACAGCAGAACAATCTCCTTATTCGACAATTGGTACGCCCGGAAAACTACTCCACCAGATTAAAAGAGGATGAGGATGTTGGACACCCTTTATTTCAGTGGCTTCTGCGAAGTTAGCAGGGTTCAGAGCTGTCACAGCCATCCATGCCAATTGCTGCCGGACTATAGGTGCTAAGGTGGCTGATCTAACGGCTGTGGTTCACTATTGGAAGAGGTTCAAGAGTTCATCTAATTCCAATCATTTATCAACTTTGAAGCTCAAAGTGACCTAGGGCTAGACTTTTAATTGCTTAACTTACACATGATCATGAAACTAATTATATTGAGTGGACTAATTTTTTTTTTTTTTTCTAGAATAAGGTGAACTTCCTAAATGAGCACTAAATTTTCCTATTTTTTTAGATAATTGTAAGAGCATGGCTTGGCTCCTTCAAATTAAGAAGGAGCTCATCCTCACAACAAATAGGATTTTGACACTTGTTAAATTCAAAGGAGAAAAAGTTAAAGAAAAAAAAAAGAAAAGGAATTTGACAAGTGATAAAACTCTATATTTGTTTTGAGGATCAATTTTAAGGAGCCAAACATTTTCCTATTTGTATTGAGTTGGAATGCAACCTAGTCTAAGAGTGGTTTCGCCGTTACAAATGTGTGATAATCAAGGGTATAACTGGGATTTTATATGTGATGGCAAAGTGAACTCTCTTTTTTTTATTATTATTATTTTTTATAATAATTATAATTTTATTTTATTTTATAATAATATCACAATTATGTCCTCTTATGCCTTCCCAAATTAAGTTGTAGAGCTAGCTACAGCTAGTCCTTTTCGGTTATTCAACTAATACAAAATGCGTAACTGAAATCACAATGAACATAAGCCCCTAATTAGAAACCAAAATGTGCAAGAAACTCTCGAAAACCCACAAATTTAGGATTAATCCCTCTCAATATGCACTGTGCTTTAACCAGCTCTTGCAGAGTGGACTATAAAATCAAAGCCTTCTATTCACCATTCTAATCAACAGCACCCAATACGATACAAAAACTCGAAACCAATAACCGGACGAATAAACAATAAAAATGGCCGGAAAAAACACATGCTTGGGTTTCCATGCAGCTCTAATGGTGATCAAATGTCTGAAGCAAACCCCATCAACACAGGTTTCTACATGGTGACATCTAACAACAGAACAATCTTATTCGGAAAGTGGTATGCCCAGAAAAACTACTCAACCAAATTGAAAGAGCGGGATGTTTTAAATGGCACGATGAAGGAAGGTGTTTTCAGAGAGTTAGGCCTCAGCGTGAGGTTTTTGGACACCCGTTACTTCAGTGGCTTCTGTGAAGTTAGCAGGGACTTCAAAGCTGTCACAACCGTTCATGCCAATTGCTGCCGGACTCTAGGTGCTAAGATGGTTGATCTGACGGCTGTGGTTCACGATTGGAAGAGGTTCAAGAGCTTATCTAATTCCAACTCGACATCGACTTTGAAATGGGACTAACCATGTAGCCTGTAATTGGTCCTGGAAGTGCAATAAAGTGACCTGGGGGCTAGGTTTTTAATTGCTTCACTTCTAAATGATCATGATAATAATTAAAGACAGATATTATTTTTTTTATATAATAAATGTATGGTCACCCTATCAAGAGGATTAATTGTCTCAGTGACAACTGCACTCTTTCTATAAAAAAAATTTCGTTGAAAGAGTTATTGAATTTGAGTGAACTACATTTTTTCTGAATGAGACGAATTCCCTTAAATAAGATGAACTTCCTAAAATTAACACTAAATTCCTTTTTTCTAGATATTTGAACTGGGGTGGAGCCCACCCTAGTCTAACTATGGCTCCACCCTTGCTAATTTGTGACTATATGATGCTATATCCTTAATTTTCAAGGCTATAATTGAGATTTTACATGAGATGGTTAAGAAAAACTCTCTTAATTATGTCCCCTTCCTTCCCAAATTAAGCTGCTAGCGGGTTTCTGTTATTCAGCTAATTCAAAGTGTGGATCTGAAATCCCAATGAACATTAGCCACAAATTGAAACCCAAATGTGCGAGAAGCTCTCCAAGTTTCACAAATTTTGGATGAATCCCTCTAAATATGTGCCTCAGCAGCTCTTTAGTGGACTATAAAATCAAATCCTTCTACCATTCTAATCAATAGCACCCAAAAACATACAAAACCTCAAAACCAAAAATCCAAAAAAAATTAAAAAATAAAATGACCGGAAAAACAACATGCATGGGTGTCAATGCAGCTCTAACCATGACATTAATTCTCCTCACTGCCACCATAGCCATGGCGGATGATGATACACCGGTACCAGCCGACCAATCCCAAGTCAACACATGGTTCAATAACAATGTAAAGCCGTACACAGAACAGCAGGGCACGCTTGACCCTGCCCTTGCAACGGCTGAGGCTGGTCAAACAGTCATCAAGGTCATGAAAGATGGAAGTGGACAATTCAAGACTATTACGGACGCCATTAATAGCATTCCGGCCGGTAACACCAAACGTGTCATTGTGTACATTGGAGGGGGAGAGTACGAAGAGAAAATCACAATTCCACGAAACAAACCATTTGTTACATTTTATGGCTCTCCAACCAATATGCCAACTTTGACCTTTGGTGGCACAGCCCAAAAGTATGGAACTGTGAACAGTGCCACAGTGATTGCTGAATCTGACTACTTCATGGCAGCTAATGTTATTTTTAAGGTATTTAAATTTATCAAATCAACATGTCACATGATATTATCATCACACAATAAATATTTGTTGACATTCTTTTATTATTTTTGTGTGGGGATTAAAATTTGCATTGATTTGTGGTTGTGAAGAACTCTTCGCCAAGGCCAGATGGGAAAGCAGTGGGAGCGCAGGCAGTGGCATTGAGGGTGTCAGGGAACAAGTCAGCCTTGTACAATTGCAAGCTTATTGGTTTCCAAGACACCCTTTGTGATGACAAGGGCAATCATTTTTTCAAGGACTGCTTTATTGAAGGCACCGTGGATTTCATCTGGGGAAGTGGAAAGTCTCTATATTTGGTAATGCCACCTAAACTCTCCTTATAATTCCTCAATGAAAGGAAAATCTATTAAGGAACTCTATATGCGACTCGTCATATGATAGTGAATCTCACGTACATGTTGTAAGAGGAACGTTATATGTACGATGAACTCATCTGTATAATTGAGCTTGTTGATGGTCTATATTATGTCATGGTTTTGATGGTTAATTAATTAATGGGTGCAGAACACTAGGTTACATGTGGTGGGAGATAATGGATTAACAGTGATAACAGCACAAGCAAGGGACTCAGCTTCAGATGATACTGGATACTCATTTGTCCACTGCAGCATAACTGGGACTGGAAATGGCACATATTTGGGCAGGGCTTGGAGGATCAGTCCCATGGTGGTCTTTGCCTACACCAGCATGTCCGAGGTCATCAACCCCGCCGGCTGGAGCAACGATAACCGCCCCGAACGTGACAGGTAAGCAAATTTATATACACTAATCAAACAGTTTCATATAATTGATTGGTTTTGAGAGTTAATAAATACTTATCAATAATTTTTTTTATTTTTTTATTTTTATTTTTTGTATGTGGCAATATTTTAGCACTGTGTTCTATGGAGAATACAAGTCTTCAGGTCCAGGTTCAAGTGTGGCTGGGAGAGTAAAATACACCAAACATCTGACGGACGAACAAGTCAAACCTTTTCTAAACCTTGGCTATATTCAAGGTTCCAAATGGCTGCTTCCTCCCCCAAATCCTAAAGTGTAGATGTTGGATATAGTTTTCTTATATATATGTAGGTATGCAATATACGATTGAGAATGCCGGCCGCACGCCTCATGCAAAATGTACATGAGCTAGCCATATAGTAATGTATAAAATCAATATTATGATCTAATTTGTGAAGATCTTCGTCTATACAATAGTTTGTCGATTTGATTGGTACAAAGACGCATTAACATTTATTAATACTTACGCTCCACTTTTCAAGGTTCTAAGATCTATAATGTACGTACCCCAAAAAAAAAAAAAAAAAAAGGGCCCCTTTTTAATTTTCACATAAGAAATAAGTCGTGCATGCGCAAAGAGTTAGGTTAAGCCTTAATTAGATTCTAACTGAACTTGCTTGATTTTGTGCTTTTCTCTTTCTAAAACATCCAGATCATGTGGAGAATAAAAATCAAGTATAATCTAATTTAATAGGTTCCACAATTTAGTAAGTAAAGTTCAATTCTGAAAAATTTGGGATGGAAAAGCTAGTTTTGGTGCTAGCAGAAGAATATATTGTAATTTATCGATTTGTTATGGATCAAATATACGTCACTCACATTGTTTTAAAATGGATTTGTGTGTATAGTCTTTGAATTGTAAGGGTAATTAAGGGTGAACACAAAATTGCAAGGAACAGAAACCTCTTATTAATGAGAAGTAGTAGAAATTAAAATGTGCCAGAGAAGGTCTCCAATAATCATGCCTTTGTAGCTTATTCACTCATGCATCATGGACTATGGAACCAAACACTCTAGCTCATTAGCACCCAAACGAACATGATAGTTTTCCGGAAAGCTTAAGTTTTTGGTAATTTTTTATCCTTTCTTTCCCATTTGGATTCGGTTTGTTTTTTTTCCTTTGTTAACTAGATTGCCTTATGCTTCCTGGTTGAATTAATTAGGATTTCCAACGCTTGATTTATTTTTAGATGGGGTCTGGCTTGGAGAAGACACACGAGCTTGAGGCTTGATTTCTCACCTGCTTCTTGTTGCATGCACGTACGGTCGATCAAACATCTTTTGAACGTTGTAAGTTTCTCCACGTTCACTGCCACAAGCTGGAAGCAGATGAGAAAGCCGATTTTGAGGCTGAGAAACTGTACATGTCTCAAGATTTTATCAACATCATATTCATGTGGAGGAGAACTCTCATATATTCAACATATTATATCATATGAGGTCTTCAGTCTCTATCAATTGATCAATTGTCTAATAACAACATAATATATCATACTATTGTGAAATGATGGGTTGCAGGTAAGGTAAGTTGAATTTGAAAATTGTAAGCCAAATTTATTATAAATTTTTCTATTGCCAGACTGTGAGTTCGTATAATGATTTTGTTGAATCTGTACTCACGATACTCAGTATGGCAACTAAACATTACTCTTATATATTCGTATAAACACAGTATAATTACTCGTAGAGAAAATTAAGAAAGCAATACATTTTTTAGCGTCAATGGCGACATATGGTACTGAAGCAAACCCCATCAGCACAAGCTTTTTCATGGTGAGATCCAACAGCAGAACAATCTCCTTATTCGACAATTGGTATGCCCGGAAAACTACTCCACCAGATTAAAAGAGGATGAGGATGTTGGACACCCTTTATTTCAGTGGCTTCTGCGAAGTTAGCAGGGTTCAGAGCTGTCACAGCCATCCATGCCAATTGCTGCCGGACTATAGGTGCTAAGGTGGCTGATCTGACGGCTGTGGTTTACGATTGGAAGAGGTTCAAGAGTTCATCTAATTCCAATCATATATCAACTTTGAAGCGCAAAGTGACCAAGGGCTAGACTTTCAATTGCTTAACTTATAAATGATCATGAAACTAATTATATTGAGTGGACTAATTATTTTCTAGAATAAGGTGAACTTCCTAAAATGAGAACTAAATTTTCCTATTTTTTTAGATAATTGTAAGAGCATGGCTTGGCTCCTTCAAATTAAGAAGGAGCTCATCCTCACAACAAATAGGATTTTGACACTTGTTAAATTTCAAAAGAGAAAAAGTTAAAGAAAAAAAAAAAGGATTTGGACAAGTGATAAAACTCTATATTTGTTTTGAGGATCAATTTTAAGGAGCCAAACATTTTCCTATTTGTATTGAGTTGGAATGCAACCTAGTCTAAGAGTGGTTTCCCAGTTGCGAATGTGTAACTATCCTCAATAATCAAGGGTATAACTGGGATTTTATATGTGATGGCAAAGTGAACTCTCTTAATAATAATACCACAATTATGTCCTCTTATGCCTAACCAAATTTAGGCTGTAGAGCTAGCTAGAGCTAGTGCTTTTCTGTTATTCAACTAATACAAAATGCGTAACTAAAATCCCAAATGAACATAAGCCCCTAATTAGAAACCAAAATGTGCAAGAAGCTCTCCAAAACCCACAAATTTAGGATTAATCCCTCTCAATATGCACTGCACCTTAACCAGCTCTTGCATGGTGGACTATAAAATTGAAGCCTTCTATTCACCATTCTAATCAATAGCACCCAATACGATACAAAAACTGAAACCAAGAACCAGAAAAATAAACAACAAAAATGGCCCAAAAAAACACATGCTTGGGTGTCCATGCAGCTCTAACCATGACATTAATTCTCCTCACCGCCACTATAGGCATGGCAAATGATGATACACCGGTACCAGCCGACCAGTCCCAAGTCAACACGTGGTTCAATAACAATGTGAATCCGTATAAAGAACGGCAGGGCACGCTTAACCCTACCCTTGTAACGGCTGAGGTTGGTCAATAGCATTCCCGATGTTATTAGGAGTGGAACCATTTATTATATGGGACTTTCTATTTTGTTAAGTTTCCTATGTGGGACTCGTGTATTCTTCAACATGCCGAGCCAATGCAAGCAGGAGACGGACCTTCTTGTGAGTGCATGCAAGAGCGCAGTGATAATAGGGCTCAAACCCTCTTCAAATTGCTGCCAACGTGTCAGGGTGACACATGTCGAGTGTGCGTGCCCTTATGTCACCCCCAAGGTGGCCAATTAATCCCTCTCGGCCATTCGATTAAGCAGATTGAAGGCTGTGGAAGAAGCGTCCTTCGCAACTTCAAGTGCTACTACTGGGACTGGTTCCACCTTGACTTGAGAGGACTTGGAATAATTTTCAAGGACTTTTGTTGCCTGAACTAAATTTTTTATTTATATTTTGGTATTATTCACATATATCGAATTGGTCAAGGAATCAACCCTACAGTCCAAGTCCTCTCGAGTCAAGGTTGAACCAGTCCCAGTAGTAGCAAAGACGTACATGAAGGGCATATATGGGATAACGGAAAATATCAAAGTTGGTAAACCATATCTTCTTAATCTATAAAAAGGGTGGTGTGTATGTACATGAGTTATAATATTACTAATACTAGAAATTAAAGCATAACAAATTATTAAGAAGGAAAAAGAAAAGAATAAATTGTGTGAGAGCAGGTGGTTGCGATATGGTTATTGTGGCGGCGGCGGAGGCTTTGATGGTGAAGGGGGACACGTGCCATGGCCAGTGCAAGGAGGAGAACAACCTTCTTCTTAATGAGTGAAAGCAAGTTTTTATGGGACATAAAGCCTGCCTCCATGCATTTTGAGTGTGATTGCCCCCACGTCACTCCCAAGCTTACTAATTTGATCAACGAACCGCATACCATTAACCAAATTCAAGCTTGTGGAAAACCAGTCCCTCACAACTTCAAGTGTGGCAAGCAGGGCCGGTTATGAGATTGTATGCCCTTCCTTGTCATACTGAAAGAAGCTTGAAGCTCAAGTGATTAAAAGTAATTACTTCGTTCAATATTTAATGTTCGAATTTTCCTATCTCGATATCACTTGTATTATTATAAATAAAAAAAATCAAATAACCATTTTTTTGTTTTGCTAAATAAAAAATTAACCTATCTCAAATTGCTATCTTTTTATATTCAGTCCATTTGCGTTGATGGATAATACTCTAACTACTCTTATTGATAAACGTTGGGAAAAACAATTTTAAAGAAAAAAAGGGTCCAAGTATCTATATATATAAAGCAAAAGGCAAGAGAACGGTGAAACATTCAAAATACTAGAAAATGCTCTTGGTTAATGCAAACATTAAGAGTTAAAATTATTATTTAAATGAGGATAATATGGTAAATTTACACTTTTTCATATTAAAAAATTAAAATACAAAGAAAAATCAGATAATGAATCCTATTTTTATGGAACACAACTATCCATGATTTTTTTAAAATTCTAAAATAAATTTAAATTTTTTTAAAAAAGGCCTCTCACAGGCGCGGAAGCCTGTGTAGAGAGGCTAGTATATATAAAGAGTATAGCCACTGCTATACTATTTTTTAAACAAAATTAGGACGAAAAACAAAATATAGCCGCTGTTGTTTTTCTGGTAGGATCTTTCTCACCTTTACTCAAAAACGCCTCCGGAAATAAAGGACCCTTGTGGCCTGCATATCCTGAAACCACTCCTCAGTCTCTCAATTTTGGCTGCGTTGTCCTCATTACTTGCTGTGTCTCTGGGCTTTGATCAGTGTCTGATGGCGGTGGTGCTTCTAGTGCTTCTGAGATACTGGTTCTTCCCGGCTTTCAGAATCCCAATTTGTTCATGCACTAATATTTAAACCTCCATATCCATCAAACATGCTCCATGCTAACTAATATCATCATCATTTGATTAACACCGTATGTTATCATATTGATTATCCCAAAATATGATTTACAGGCTCTGTAAAGAATGGTATTTTGATTCATCAAGTACTAGCTACAGCATATGTTAAAAAAAATTGATTATGCATACATACAGCAGGTGGGACAATAAATGCTATAATATGCTTCCCACGACATACTAAATTAACATGAAATAAAGAGACTAATTTTATTGTGTAAATGAATAATTGGACATGAAATATGAAAGTGATCATTATACTGGAAGGTAAGAAGTGATTAATTATATATTCATATCACAATTAATGAAAAGAGTAAAATTTCACACCAAATCAATCTCAGAGTTCAATTTTTACTTCTTTTTTTTTTTTTGGGTGTGTGTGCATGGAAATTTTACAATAAATCAATAGACTTGGATAATGGCTTAATAGTAATAGATAATGCCCTAAACTATCCTGACCTATAAAAGAAAATCGGGGGAAAAAATTTAAGAGAAAAAAAAGGAGCCCTTGTGTCGAAATAAGTATAGCCGCGCGGCTATACTATTCAAGCGTACAGCCAAACGGCTATATGATTTTTTAAAAAATTTAAAAACCGAGTACATCCGAGCGGCTATACTATTTATAAATATAAATATAACCCGCAGCTAATACGCGGCCACGTGTCAACATCCGTACAGCCATGTGGCTATATGTTTTTTTTAATATTAAAGAGTACCGCCGCCCGGCTATACTATTTTTATTTTATAAAAAAAACCCGAGTACACCGCTGACCGACTATACGATTTATAAAAATTTAAAAAGACGCCCTGGCGAATAGGTGGCCACGTGTCAAAACCCGTATATCCGACCGGCTATACTATTTTTTAAACAATAAAAAAAGGAGTACAGCCGCCCGGCTATACGATTTTTATATTAAAAAAAGCAAAACCGGCTATACTAGTTTAAAAAAATATAAAAACTAAGTACAGCCGCGCGGCTATACGATTTATAAAAATAAAAACGTGTCAAAAACAGTATAGCCGAACGGCGATACAGTGGGTTTTTTTTATTTTTTTTCCTCTTATGGATCATGTCACACATAATAATATATACTCACTTAAATTTTCAAGCGTAATAATATGAAAAATCATTTTAAAGTAATTAACTATGTCGAAAATTAGATCGAAATATACAAAAATGAAAAATCATTGGCAACCAAACACCTTGCTCCTGGACTATAATAGGAGCAATTGAAGCAAATTGAGTTACAAAAAATAAAATAAAATAATTGTTCGATTTTTAAAAAAGAAAAAGAAAACTGAGGAACTAATAGCTTACTGGCCACAGATAGCCAAACCCGCTCTTTCCTGCAATCCGAAGAACAAGGCACTCAAGGAAGGAATCCCATCCATCCTCCTCCTCCTCTCCATGGCCACCGCAAACCTTTCCATACCCCTTCTCTCTCTTCCACGCCACCACCACCTCCACCTTCACCCTAACCTCATCACCGTTCCAACTCGGCTTCGACTCGGCCTGCGAACTCAAGCTCTGGGCAATGACATCCTGGGCGATTTTGGCGCCAGAGACCCCTTCCCAGCTGAGATAGCAAGTGGGTTTGGTGAGAAGGTGTTGGGCACCGGAAACACAGAGCACAAGATTCTCATCCCCAATCTCTCTTCTCTCTCTCTGTCCCAGCTAGACTGCAGCCCTGTCTCACCTCTCCAGCCTCCTATGCCTGAAGACGATGCCCAGAAGCTCCTCAGAAAGGTCAATTCTTCATTGATATCTTCGATATGTATGATGCTTCCGTGGTGTTTGATGAAATTACTGTGTAAAGTCTTAGTCTTTGCTTAGCTTAGCTTTGCCCAATTTTCATATCCTGAAGAAGATTACCCTTTTGGGTTCTGTTTGTAAAGTTAAGGACTTTTGTGGGTTGTGTGTTCTAGAATTGAGGTCTGAAGCTGTGATTTTGTTTTGTTTCCAAAAATTGGATGGTTGTGATTTTATGCAAGCAAATTGGAACTCATTTATGCCTTGCTTCTGTAGGTTGTTGGGTGGAGATTGATAGTTGGAGAAGGTGAGCTCAAATTACAGTGTCTTTGGAAATTGAGAGATTATAAATGTGGGGTTGAGCTCATCAACAGGATTTATAAGGTTGCAGAAGCTGCAGGGCATTTCCCAAATCTTCACTTGGAGCAACCCAATCAAGTTAGAGCAGAGCTATGGACATCTTCCATTGGTAAACTTCTTGCAAACTTGTAGAAACTTTTCATTGGGCTACTTGCCATACCATTTGCACATTGCTAACTTGAAACTTCATTGCAGGAGGATTGAGCATGAATGATTTCATTGTAGCTGCCAAAATAGATGATATAAAAACATCAGATCTTGTGCCCAGAAAAAGAGTTTGGGCTTAGATGAAGCATTGTGTTTGTTTGTTGCCTTCATCAATAAGAATCCCCAAAAGGAGCATTCTGTAGTATGGATTTTGTCAGCAACTAATTACCACAGAGGCTCAAGTTTTTATAAAAATGTTGGAAGGAACATTATTCTTTTCCTGATGGATGGATAATCTGTTTATTTTAGCAGAAGTACAATCATACGTCGACCCAAAAAAAGAAACGAATACCATTCTTATGATGGGAATTTGAAGTGATTCGTATAACATCATCCAACAGAAGTTTCAAAAAGCAAACGTCTTCCCAACATTTTCACACAAGAAGAAATAACTTGTCAAAAACGCATTGGTGGGAAATGAATTTTGAACATGGGTAAATTCTATTGAACCTTGGACAAGTTTTATAAATCAATGTTGCCCTTGATACATTTATTTTTAATAATTTTGGTATAGAAAATTCTTTAAAAAAATAAAACATTTGGGATAGAATTAAAATATTTTTTTTTATTTTTTTATTTTAACACTCACAGCCTTCCTTACCCAAAAAAGAAAGAAAAAGGAAAAAGAAACGAACTCTCACCGCCGCGCATAAAACAGAGTGGCAGAGCGGGTAGCAATGCATATAGCCGTTGTACGAAGTTCTAAGCACAAGGCGTAGCTCAAAAGCGCGCTCATGGAGAAGCTGAAATCTCTGGTTCCAGAAACCCTAAAGCGAATGATCGGAGAGAGCTCTGCTGACGATCTTCCTCGCACATGTTCTTCTCTCGTCGATTTTCTTCTTCATTTCGAGCCCTTTCACCAAGTATGTCATTATTTTTGTACGTTCTAATTTATGAGCTTCGAGAAACAAACAATAACAGAAGAAATGAAATGAATGAATGATTAAAATTTGTCGTATTTGATTAGATGGTGAGGGACTTGGCGGACCCTGAAGTGGCTCTGTGTGGCAAGAACAAAGAAGCTGCTTTGGAGTCAAAGCAAAAGGGGAATAAGTGCTTCTTGAGTGGTGATTATCCTAATGCTTTGGATTTATATACTCAGGTACCTCCATCTTTGAAATTACTTCTCTATTTTGAAGCCATTGCTAGAGCTAACCCTTACTTGTTTGTTTATTATCACTGGCATGAGGCACAGGCATTGATAGTTGCTCCTATGGATGCACATGAAGACAGAAACTTGGTTGCTACTTTGTATGTGAATCGGGCTTCTGTATTGCATGTAAGTCCCATTCTTGATTTATGTGGGTATGTACCAAACGTAACAAGTTCAATTCTTTATCAACAGATTTCATTGCTCACTGTTAGTGTATCTGTTATGTGTAATCCTTAGAAAATGGGTCTTCTAAGGGAGTGTTTCCGAGACTGCAATCGGGCGCTTCAGATTTCTTCAAACTATGCAAAGGTGAGATGCTTTTATTGCCTAGCGTTAAGGTGTATTTTAATGAGTTAGAGATGCCTTTTTTTACTGGAGGATAAAGGAGACTAAGAGAGTTACAGTTTTCTTCAAATTTACTTTTCTTCCTTTTTCCAATGTAGGCATGGTACAGAAGAGGTAAGGCAAATGCTTCTATGGGAAATTATAAGGATACTATCCGTGACTTGGATGTTGCTAAGATTCTGGAGTTGACAATGGGTGGAAAGAGACAGATAGAAAGTGAGATGAAGATAATTTTGGATCAACAGAATAGTACATCAAATCCATCAATACAACAGTATGAGAGTACCTCAGATATTTTGGGTAAGATATTACCATATATTATCACATTGAGCAACTATAATCAAATATTCTGATCTCAGGAATGAAAATCTGTGCTCACTCTGGATGAGTAATCACCTTATGGTTTCTTAAGATATTTTAGACATTGGGCCCCCTAAGTTTTTATAACCTGTGATTAAAACTACAGATGAAAAAAATAGCAATTTGGAGACATGCAAAAGCAACAAAAATGGCTCCATGTCGACACATTACAGCTTGAAATGGTATTCTCACTGAGAATATTCTGTTGGTTTCATCATATTTATGTTTTTTTAACGTTATATTGAGTTAAGCTGATGGATTGATGTTCATACTTCCCTTAGGATGTAGCAGTGACAGGGTCTCATTTTGAGTGTACTTATGTTGTTGAGCCTTTTAATGCAATCTTTACTTTTTTTTAATTATGCTAAGATATTCCTGACTTTACAGCTTGTTTTGCTGGTTAAACTTCCTGCCTCTATTTTCTTTCTAAATAAAGCTAGTCATGTTAGGGAAGTTAAGTATTAGCAACCTAATTAAAGTACCTTGTAATCCATCAGATGAACCGCACCCAACAGGATTACGATGTGTCGCCACACCAGAGAAAGGAAGGGGTATGGCTTCAACAGGTGACCTTCCTCAAGCGTCCTTGGTACATACCGAAGACCCTTTTTCGATGGTATGAACAGAGACTTCTTTTATATGTGCTATCGTGTACTTCTTTTCAGTTTTGTTAGTCGCCATTACTTTGCTACCGAATTGGATAGAGAGATGTTCCCCTTCTATGCAGACATTCCTGATAATCCACAGTACTCATCCCCTTCACTTTTGTTAGTCGCCATTAATCCAAGTAATTGCCCTTTCAATTAGCATATCTGTGCAATACAGATGGTTGAGATCTTTTGAAGGGATGTTCTTTTTACAGTCCAATCAGAACATGTACCCCTGGAAAATTTATTGTGAAACTAAAAGTAGATATGTATCCTACGGTTTAATTTCATTTATTACATTCTCGTCATCAAGAGGCATAAGAAAAAATCGAAGCAGAATGGTGTACCATCTTTATTTTGTCTTTCAGTGAGTGTTGATTAATACTTCACAAGTTGCTGAAGAGGAATTATTTATTTAAACTTATTATCTTCGAAGCTCAAGTTGTGTTCAAGTATCATTTGTGCATCTTTTTTACCAACAGAGTAGGCTCTTATTGCCATTGGAAATATATGCAGTTCTTCTGAGGATTCTAAAATAAATTGCCTCTGTGCTTTGCAGATAATATTAAAGCCTTGTCGGGAAACTCATTGCCACTACTGCTTAAATGAGCTACCAGCGGATAAAGTCCCATGTACATCATGTTCAATACCATTGTATTGCTCCCAGAAATGCCGTATACGAGCAGGAGGAAAAATGTCCTGGGATTACCCAAACAATCAAAGGATTCATGAAAATTTATCAGCTGATCTTGAAAAGTACATTGCAGAGACCATTTTAAATGTTGATTCTGAAACAGATACTGAGCACATTCCTGAACATAAACATGAATGTAAAGGTGTACACTGGCCAGCAGTATTGCCTTCTGAGATAGTTTTGGCTGGTCGTGTGCTAGTAAAGTCTATAATCAAAAGAAGAGGTTCTGCGGATATTTTTAATCTCAGAGAAATTTTGGTACATATAGTAGCTATATTTTCTACTTTACTAATTTTCATTTCAGTTGACTGTCTTACTATTTCATAAATGGATGTCTTGTAGCTAATGACCTGTATACTTTTCTTGTAGGATCTTTCTCACCATTACTCAAAAATGCCTCCAGAAAGAAAATTGGAATTACATATATATTCAGCTGTATTATCATATTGTCTTCAATATTCCGATGATTTTGAATTACCAATAAATGGGTTCTCTATTTCACAGGTTGACTCTCTCTCTCTCTCTCTCTCTCTCTCTCTCTCTCTCTCTCTCCTGCATGCACACACGCAGAGTCAGGGTTACACCTTTGGTGAATTATATATCTAAGAAACAAGAGGGTTAAGCAATGATGAAACGACTTCCTGGATCTGCCCTTGCAGTGTGGTTACTACCACGCCCATATGTGCAAATCCATAGATTATCATTTTTGTAGGACAATGCTATATATTGAAATCTAAAAATCATGTTTTTCAACTAAGTGGTCATTCTCTCATCTACTTGCATACAAAGTTTCATGTGTGTCCTATTTTGTTAGAGAGTCAGTGTGATACTTCCTTACAATTTTCTCATAATAGAGTCACTTTGAAAGTCAACTTGTGTAGCAAGGATGAAAATCTCAAAAATGTTCATCGTTATAATCAAATTATGTTAACAGGTGAGAGATTGCAATGGATGTTTACCTATTTTCTGACGTCTGTATATACTTGGACGATCTATATTTCAATAGCAATTTAGATTTCATGCCTTGATTGTCACCTATTATATAAGGTTTCGTTCTCCTGTTTTTGCAGATTGTCATACTTATATCCCAAATTAGGGTGAACTCTATGACTGTTGTTCGTATGAAATCCATTGATCAGCATGGGTTAGAAGATATTGGAAAGTTTTCATCGTTGGGTGGAGGTCTAACTAGTAATGTGGAACAGGTTTGCATTTATGGTATGCTTTATTTATTTTGCTCCTTTTTGTTTCTTCTCTTATCTGACCACTCTTGTTCCAATCAGTTACACTGCTTTTTTCCATAATAGTCTTGAACTCTGTTTATTAACTTGGAATTTTCATGTGTGACACTGCAAAATGTGATAATTTATGTAAAACTTCTTGTATTGATATACGTTTCACTTCAGTTCATAAAACTTATGCCCTTTGACCCTGTGTATCATCATTTTTGTTACTTTCATAGGTTAGAGTAGGTCAAGCTATCTATACATCTGGAAGTCTATTCAATCATTCTTGTCAGCCAAACATCCATGCATATTTCCTTTCACGTACTCTCTTTATAAGAACGACAGAATATGTCGCAGCAGGGGTACCCCTGGAGCTTTCCTATGGTCCACAGGTATGCTCACTTACTGTTGTATCTCATTCAGTTTGGTAGTGCGGAATAACATTATGATGTTCATGCTGCTATAGTATCTACAGAATGTAGAGACCCCTTTTTTCCCCTCAACCTGTCCACATTTTGAAATACCAACGTGGGACTGTAAAAACTTAGTTTTGTTTCTACAGGTTGGGCAGTGGGACTGTAAGGACCGAGTCAAGTTTCTGGAAGATGAATACTCATTTCGTTGTCAGTGCAGTGGGTGTTTAAAAGTAAACTTCTCTGACCTGGTCCTAAATGCTTTTCACTGTGTCAAACCGAATTGTTCTGGCATAGTCTTGCAGAGCTCTGTTGTTGACTGTGAAAAGGAGAAACTTAAACGCTTACCCAACATCATCACCGCTGGCAACATGGAGCCTCATCTTCAGGTATTGTATGTTTCCTAGAAAGTACAAATTCTCCCGACTCACTTAGATTTATATTCATGTAATCATTCACTTGATGTTCACACAGGCTGAAGAGTTCATCAATATTGATGACATCGATAGAGTGGCTCATCATCATATGCAAATCAATAGCCTTTTTCATATAAATCCAGGCCTCTGTTTAAAATGTTGTTCTTATCATGATCTGGAATCTTCCTCCGCAGCTGCAAATAAAGCATGGATTATTATCAGAAGGTATAACACTGTCTGAAAACTGGTTATGTTCTTTTAAAATTTAATGGCCACCTATTTCCTATGTTCAATCTGCACGCTGAAGTCTTGTGTTCAATACTTGACAGATTACAGGATGCAATAGTCTCAAAAGATGTATCTAGCACCATACTGGTGGATGCATTAAGTTCTCTTGGTGTGCTGAGATCAACTTTCCATGCATATAATAGGAGCATTGCAGAAGTGAGTTTGCGACCACCCTTCAGTTTTGTACAATAGAATTTATATCATTTGAATGTGCAATTTGTAAGTACTAGATGCCAATATCTAAGTTGCTGTTATTGAACAACGTAGAAAGTGTTCAATGATTTTGGCACATATGACACTGAATTAGATCACACTTGACTTAAATGATTTTGATCTTTGCAGGCGGAAGACAATCTTGCACAGGTGTTTTGTTTCGTTGGAGAGTTGCAACCTGCAATGGAACACTGTAAAGCCTCAATCGAGGTAAAACTCTTGTTGTGCACAAGTCACTTCATCCTGAACTTTTTACATTTGCGTTGATTAGATCTGAGGATAAATTCATAGATCAGACATGGATACCTCACTAGTCACTGGGTGTACTTATTGTTATTTAGTACATAAATAACTCCAAATGATGTTTATATGTTGTTTCACATTGACAATTGGCAGATCCTGGAGAAGCTCTATAATCCCAATCACATTGTCATTGGATATGAACTTGTGAAGCTCTCGTCTATTCAGTTATCCTTGGGTGACTGTGCTGCCGTGGACAGCATAAACCGACTTTGTGATATATTTTCGTGTTATTACGGATCTCATACATACAAGATTTTCCCATACCTTCAATTCCTTAAGAGGAGAGAGAAGCAGACCTCTTCCTTGAAGCACCAACAAAAATGATCGTCTGGCAAGTTTTTGGACTCGTTGCCCACCCAAATACTGTTGAGAATGTTAAATGTAAATATAACCTGATCAGTTTGCGGGAGCGCAATTACAATTTGAGTCTCCACATCTTTGAACATTGATGCATGAATTGGCATATTTCATGGATATGGATGCATACATCTCATCTGTTTCTAACCATGTCGTCAGGGAATTTCACATGTTTCAATTCAAGGCTTCAACGCAGCGTTTTACGGTTCCTTGGGTGTCAGGGTTTATAAACTAGTTTAGTCAAGGTAATTTCACATCTTTTTGTACACATTTCGGCCCAAATTCAAAATCTCAATTCCCATTCCCATTCCCATTTCCCATTCTCAAATGCTTTCTGTCACTCTCGAACACAAAAGCCATTGAGTAAAGCCAATTTCATGAATCATGTCCAACCTAACCTCATCGTTACAACCAGGATCCACGTGGATAAGGTTTGGATAAGATATCGGCTGCTAGGTTTCCGAAATTGCCCATTTTTCACTTCCTTTTTTTAGCCCATTTTTCACTTTGGCTGGGGAAGAAAAGGGAAATTTGAGTTTTGGTTGGAGTTATTATGAAAAATGAAAGAGTTCTTCCCCCACCAATTCTCAAATCCGGAAAAAAAAAAAAAATTGAGTTGAGTGAAATATCCCCCCAAAAATTTATAATAAATAATTTTAAAATAAAAAAAGATACACTGAAAATTTCTAAGAACTCCTCGTGACATTCTCTTCTGTTTAAAGCTCCAAGATTATAATTTTGAATTATAAAAATACAAAGAAATAATAAAAACTCTACTTTTTTATAGCTATGGAAAATTCTATATATAAGATGAACAGGTTCGCATTATTTTACAAGTTTATTTCTTCATCTAGAATGTGCACAGAATTCCTAATTTAAAATGGTAAGGTTCCTTTTCTTCTTTTTTTTGGTCCAAGTAAGGTTCCTAGTTAAACAATTACATAAATTGCTTTCTTTGGACCGGCCACCTGAAGTCAGTCAATTGCAAGTCTCTCTCGGGTAGCTTCCCGGAAGAAGGACCCAGGTACATCCACGCACGCCGTATTAAAAACGTACAATTTTTGGAGCCATTACGTCAATTTTGTCTCTCCTTTTTGTTGTCTCTTTGTTGTCTTTGGGTCTTGGTTCCTTTTTTTTCATTTTCTTCTTTCACAAACCCTTAGACAAAGTTGGTTGTGGAAAATATCAAAGTTGGTAGGGCAACGGTAGGGCTTCCTCAAACTTAACCCTCTTCACAATCTATAAAACGGGGTAGTTTTGCACACACAAAACAACAAAGGAAAGAAGAAGAAACAAAAAGAAAAGAAATCATGAAGGCTGCAGGCTCATTGAGTATGGTTGTGTGCTTGTTCTTGGTGGTAGGTGTTTGGGTGGTTGTGGTTCCCCCGGCAAAAGGAGACACGACGCCCAGCCAATGCAAGGAGGAGAAGGACCTTCTTATGGGTGCATGCAAGAACGCGATTATAATAGGGGGCAGTCCCTCTGCATATTGCTGCCAACGTGTTAGGGTGACACATTTCGAGTGTGTGTGCCCTTATGTCACCCCCAAGGTGGCCACCTCGATACCTATCGGCCGTACGATTAAGCAGATTGAATCATTGAAGGCTGTGGAAGAAGCGTCCCTCGCAACTTCAAGTGCGGCAGTGAGTTCACTCTCTCTCTCTCTCTCTCTCTCTCTCTCTCTCTCTCACCTAATTAATCTTTAACACGAATTGATTAATGTCGACAAAAACTAGATCAGCACTAATTAAATATATATAGTAATTTCTTTATTTGTGTGGATCTGATCATCTGATTACTTTGGTTAATCTTTTTTTGTTTTTTTGTTTTTTTGCAGGTATCACCACCCCACCATAAGAAGAATATTCTAGCCAGCTACAAGAATATATTGTTATGCTTGATTATCAAATAAAAGAATCATCTTAATTAGCTTTCTTTCAAGCTATCAGTTACATAAATTTGAAGTGTACACTTCATATGCACTTATGTATAGTGGAGGGAAGGTGAAAAATACGTATGACTTTCCTCAAATAAAAGTGGATGTTTCCTATGTGGATTTAAATTCTCTGCTTGGATTCTCTACAATATGATATGCTAGAATTCTTTTCTGCATATGTCACTTCATTAAAATAAAATCCAAGGGACATTAAGTTGACACACCACCTTTAACACAAAACCCAATTTTCTCATAATTAAAAAAGAATATAAAACCCAATTTAATTGTCATATATATTACAAATTAACATCAAGATTGGCCTGCTTGGTTTTTAGAAATTTCTATCAATTCGTGCACCAGTTCATCTTTACTCCTAGAGTTCTATTTCCATCAGATTGTTATGCTTTCCTTTATACTGAAGCAACCTTATAAACGAATTATAATAGAATTATCTTTTCAATAAACGTTATTTTATGAGATTATTATTTTGTCACTCAAATCATTGTGGTACGTTTTTTAGTGCTCCAAATTATATATGAAATCACCTTTAAGTTTGTGGAAGAGTTGAAGAAGAGGATTGGTTTAGATTACAATCGGCTATCTCGGATGTCAATTATTGAGGAAAGTACTGTGAAGGTATATTTAAAACCAAACAAGTGAGAGACAATTTACAAAAAAACAAAAGCACGTAATCGCAACAATAGAACCAAATCTAATTAATAAAATTTCCATATCCGAGTCGGTACGCACCAAATCTAATTAATAAACAATTAGGGCAAACAAACAACCCACTAAGTTTAGGGTTTAAGGTTTAGGGTGTAGGAAAGCATAATATTGGAAAGAGAGGCATTAGTTATCATTTCTCCATTGGATTCTCCTTCCTCTCCTGCGCATTCATCATATCCCTGACTGCTCTTGAGCTCTAGCAATACGCTCACGTAGCTGTTCATTCGCTCTAGCCCGTTTCTCCACGTCCTTGAGAAAGAAGAACTCAGAGTCACCACAAATACAATTAAAAATTAAATAAAAAAGAATAATAAGGAAGCCCTACCGATAATAGTATTTCTGCGGCAATGTGTTTCTCCCTCACTCTCGCTAAACGAACCTCTATCTCCATCAGGTCTTGAACCTTCTTCTCCCTCCGGGATTGTAATTCAACATAATACTCCTTGAACTTTCTTATCCAAGCACCAGCTGCAGCAATTGATCCCAACATTACACACGATGCACGGGTGTATACGGAGATATACAGTCGGTACCGTGGACAGAATAAACCGACTGAAAGGTTTTGAATATTCTCGATGATTTTCACTGAACAATTGTGTGATAATTATATACAATGTTTTGCTTGGTGTCTATACAAAGGATTTTCTATTCTAGGCAAGAATCAAGTCCTTGAGAGACAAAGAATATATACAGCAAATCAATGAAATAAATACGAATAAAATAGGAAACCCCCAAGGTGTGTGTGCGCCCTTATGTCACCCCCAAGGTGGCCACCTTGACCTATCGGCCGTACGATTAAGCAGATCGAAGGCTGTGGAAGAAGCGTCCCTCCCTCGCAACTTCAAGTGCGGCAGTGAGTTCATCTCTCTCTCTCTGACCTAATTAATCTTTAACACGAATTGATTAATGTCGACAAAAACAAGATCAGCACTAATTAAATATAAATAGTAATTTCTTTATTTGTGTGTAGCTGATCTGATTACTTTGGTTTTTTTTTTTTTTTTTTGATGCAGGTATCACCACTCCACCATAAGAGGACGAATATTCTAGCTAGCTACAAGAATATATTATTAATTATGCCTGATTATCAAATAAAAGAATCATCTTAATTAGCTTTCTTTCAAGCTATGAGTAACATAAATTTGAAGTGTACAATTCATGTGCGCTTCTGTATTAGATAGTGGAGGGAAGCGGAAAAATACGTATGATTTTCCTCAAATAAAAGTGAATGTCTCCTATATGGATTCAGATTCTCTATGCTATGATCTGCTTGAATTCTTTTCTGCATATGTCACCTCATTAAAATAAAATCAAAGGGACATTAAGTTGACACATCACCTTTAACACAAAACCAAATTTTCTCATAATTAAAAAAGAAAGAGTATAGCTGTACGGCTATACTAATTTTTTTAAAGGGAAAGACGAGTACAGCTGTGCGGCTATACTATTTATAAAAAAATATAAAAAGACCCCAGCAATTAGGTGTCCAGCCCCTCGGCTATACTATTTTTTTTATATAAAAAACCCAAGTATTGCCTCGCGGCTATATTCTTTAAATACATTATATTTGAAAGGTAAAGCCCGCGGCTATACTATTAAAGAGAGAAATTTCACAGCAAATCAATTTGAGAGTTCAATCTTTTCTTCTTCTTCTTTTTTTTTTTTTTGTACTGAAATTTCACCGTAAATCAATAGAGACTCGAGTAATGGTCTAAAAGTAATAGATAATGCTCTAACCTACTCTTATCGATAAACGAAAATCGGGGAAAAAAAGGTATGAAAAAAAGTATCTCAGTATATATAGTGTATAGCCATGCCTCAATTTTTTTAATTCATGCATCAATGTTCAAAGATGTGGAGAATCAAATTGTAATTATGCTCCCGCAAACTGATCAGGTTATATTTACATTTAACATTCTCAACACTATTTGGGTGGGCAACGAGTCCAAAAACTTGCCAGACAATCATTTTTGTTGGTGCTTCAAGGAAGAGGTCTGCTTCTCTCTCCTCTTAAGGAATTGAAGGTATGGGAAAATCTTGTATGTATGAGATCCGTAATAACACGAAAATATATCACAAGGTCGGTTTATGCTGTCCACGGCAGCACAGTCACCCAACGACAACTGAATAGACGAGAGCTTCACAAGTTCATATCCAATGACAATGTGATTAGGATTATATAGAGCTTCTCCAGGATCTGCCAATTGTCAATGTGAAACAACATTAAAACATCATTTGGAGTTATTTATGTACTAAACAAGTACACCAAGTGACTAGTGAGGTATCCATGTCTCATTTATGAATTTTATCCTCGCAGAAATTAGATCCAATCAACACAAATGTAAAAAGTTCAGGATGAAGTGACTTGTGCACAACAAGAGTTTTACCTCGATTGATGCTTTACAGTGTTCCCTTGCAGGTTGCAACTCTCTGACGGAACAAAATGCCTGTGCAAGATTGTCTTCCGCCTGCAAAGATCAACTCATTTTAAGTCAAGTGTGATCCAATTCAGTGTCATATATATGTGCCAAAATCATTGAACACTTTCTACGTTGTTCAATAACAGCAACTTATTAGATATTGGCGTCTAGTACTTATAAATTGCACATTCAAATTATATAAATAATGACAAAGTAGCTCCCAAATAATAACAAAGTGTAGTGATAAATGATCATAATAATTTCGCTGACGATAAATTCTATCGTACAAAACTGAAGGGTGGTCACAAACTCACTTCTGCAATGCTCCTACTATATGCATGGAAAGTTGATCTCAGCACACCAAGAGAACTTAACGCATCCACCAGTATGGTGCTAGATACATCTTTTGAGACTATTGCATCCTGTAATCTGTCAAGTATTGAACACAAGACTTACAGCGTGCAGATTGAACATAGGAAATAGGTGCCCACTAAATTTGGAAAGATCAGAACCAGTTTTCAGACAGTGTTATACCTTCTGATACTAATCCATGCTTTATTTGCAGCTGCAGAGGAAGATTCCAGATCACGATAAGAAGAAGATTTTAAACAGAGGCCTGGATTTATATGAAAAACTCTATTGATTTGCATGTGATGAGCCACTCTATCGATGTCATCAATATTGATGAACTCTTCAGCCTGTGCGAACATCAAGTGAATGATTACATGAATATAAATCTAAAGCGAGTCAGGAGAATTTGTACTTTCTAGGAAACATACAATACCTGAAGATGAGGCTCCATGTTGCCAACGGTAATGATGTTGGGTAAGTGCTTAAGTTTCTCTTTTTCACAGTCAACAACAGAGCTCTGCAAGACTATGCCAGAACAATTCGGTTTGACACAGTAAAAAGAATTTAGGACTAGGTCAGAAAAGTTTACTTTTAAACAACCACTGCACTGACAACGAAATGAGTATTCATCTTCCAGAAACTTGACTCGGTCCTTACAGTCCCACTGACCAACCTGTAGAAACAAAGCTTAGTTTTTACAGTCCCACGTTGGTATTTCAAAATGTGGAAAGGTTTAGGGGGGAAAAAGGGCTCTCTACATTATGTATATACTATAGCTGCATGAACATCATAATGTTATTCATACTACCAAACTCAATGAGATACAACAGTAAGTGGGCATACCTGTGGACCATAGGAAAGCTCCAGGGGTACCCCTGCTGCGACAAATTCTGTTGTTCTTATAAAGAGAGTACGTGAAAGGAAATACGCATGGATGCTTATAAAGAGTGTACGTGAAAGGGCATAATTTCTATCAACTGAAGTTAAACGTATATCAACACAAGAAGTTTTACATAATTATCACGTGTCAGTGTCACACATGAAAATTCCTACTTAATAAACAGAGTTCAAGATCAGCTGATAAATTTTCATGAATCCTTTGATTGTTTGGGTAATCCCAGGACATTTTTCCTCCTGCTCGTATACGGCATTTCTGGGAGCAATACAATGGTATTGAACATGAGGTACATGGGACTTTATTCGCTGGTAGCTCATTTAAGTAGTAGTGGCAATGAGCTTCCCGACAAGGCTTTAATATTATCTGCAAAGCACAGGCACACTTATTTTAGAATCCTCAGAAGAACTGCATATATTTGCAATGGCAAAAAGAGCCAACTCTGTTGGTAAAAAAGATGCACAAATGATACTTGAATACAACTTGAGCTTCGAAGATAATAAGTTTAAATAAATAATTCCTCTTCAGCAACTTGTTAAGTATTAATCAACACTCACTGAAAGACAAAGAAGATGGTACACCATTCTGCTTCGATTTTTTCTTATGCCTTTTGATGATGAGAATGTACCAAAGGAAATTAAACTGTAGGATACACATCTACTTTTAGTTCCACAATAAATTTTCCAGGGGTACATGTTCTGATTAGACTGTAAAAAGAACATCCCTTCAAAAGATCTCAATCATCTGTACTGCACAGATATGCTAATTGAAGGGAAAAAAGGAGACAAAGCAGTGGATCACACAACAATTTAGTTTCCCAAACCACAACTATATAGAGTATCAGGAATGTCTGCATAGAAGGGGAACATCTCTCCATCCAATTCTGTAGCAATTACTTTGATTAATGGCGACTAACAAAAGTGAAGGGGATGAGTACTGTGGATTATCAGGAATGTCTGCATAGAAGGGGAACATCTCTCTATCCAATTCAGTAGCAAAGTAATGGCGACTAACAAAACTGAGAAGAATAGCACATATAAAAGAAGTCTCTGTTCATACCATGGAAAAAGGGTCTTCGGCATGTACCAAGGATGCTTGAGGAAGGTCACCTGTTAAAGGCATACCCCTTCCTTTCTCTGGTGTGGCGACACATCGTAATACTGGGTGCGGTTCATCTCATGGATTACAAGGTACTTTAATTAGGTTTCTAGTACTTGACTTCCCTAACATGACTAGCTTTATTTAGAAAGAAAATAGAGTCAGTAAGTTTAACCAGCAAAACAAGCTGTAAAGTCAGGAATATCTTAGCATAATTGAAAAAAAGTACAGATTGCATTAAAAGGCTCCACAACATGAGTACACTCAAGATGAGACCATCTGTCACTGCTACATCCTAAGGAAAGTATGAGCATCAATCCATCAGCTCAACTCAATATAACGTTAAAAAAAACCTAAATATGATGAAACCACCAGAATATTCCAAGTGAGAATACCATTTTAAGCTGTTACGTGTAAACATGGAGCCATTTTTGTAGCTTTTGCACGTCTCCACGTCCCTTTTTTTTTTCTTTTTTTTTCATCTGTAGTTTTAATCACAGGTTATAAAAACTTAGGGGGCCCAACGACTACAATATCTTAAGAAACCATCAGGTGATTACTCATCCAGAGTGAGCATTGCACAACGTGATACTAAATAACGGTAATTATCTTACCCAAGATTGTCTTCCACCTGCAAAGATCAAATCATTTTAAGTCAAGTGTGATCCAATTCAGTGTCATATCTGGTACGTCCTCCACATGCACTACTTGCTCGAAATTTTGGGCCAAGATTGTCGTCACCACCACATTTCCAAGTGAGAAGAGATGGGTGAGTTGAAGCTTGAGTTATAATCGTGTCACACATGACATTAACCGATAGAAGAAGAAAAACATGAAAGGCTATTCCAAGTTCGAATCCCTCTTCTCGGAGAAAAAAAATCCAAAATCACATCTATGATCTTCCATGCAAAAATGACATTCTACCATGGGGGAAAATATAGAAGTTAGAAACCTTTTGTGCTTATATCATTCGTCTTCCCCAAAATTATTGCTAGCTAGTTGCTAGTATACCAACTACCGATTGTATCCCTTTAACTTGTATTTCCATGGCAATTGCTATCTCCCTCTCCCTCTCTAGACGAACCTTCATCTCCCTCAGGAATTGTATTTCACCATTCCGATTCCGATTTTCAAAGTAATAATAATACTCTTTCAACTTTCTTATCCAAGCAGGAGCAGCAACTGGTCCCAACATTACCCACGATGCACGGGTACAAATTTAATTTGATTATAACGATGAAAATATTCAAGATTTTCATCATTGCTACACAAGTTGACTTTCAAAGTGACTCCATTAGGAGATAGCACCATGTGTCTCTCTTATCTTTTCAAATATGGTTTTCGAGTTTCTTCAAAAAAGACTCATTCCACTCATTCATCTTCTCTCTATCTTTTCAAATATTGTTTTCGGGTTTTTATTTTTGTGACATTGGTCTTCAGAAAAGACTCATTTCGCTCATTCATCTTCTCAAGTGTGTCTAGTTCTTTGAGTTCCCATTCCGCACATTCATCTTCTCAAGTGTGTTTTTATTACAAATGGTTTCTGAGGTTTGTGAAATTATCAACTTTGATCATTTATATTTTTTTTTCTGACATTATTGGTCTTCGTATTACACCTAACACATCAATTTGCCATGTCATTTAGGTTCTATCAAAATTTCTATTAAATTGACGATGTGGCACCACATATTCAATGAGATAATGCCACGCGGATCTAAATAAAAATATTTCCTTAAAAAATGGGTTAACAATTAAAATATAAAATAATTAGAAAACTAAATTAAAGAAAAGAAAAAAAAAACAAAGTGGGTTGCCAAGGGGGGAGGGCGTTGGCATAGGGGGATGATTGCAGGTATTTTTCTTTTTGTTTTAGTATTTTCTTTTTAAAAAATAATTTGAAGTTTTAAAATATTTAAAATATATTATTATTTTATTTAAAGTCACGTGGCATTATCTTATTGGATTTGTGGGCACCATTAGCAATTTAATAGAAATTTTGATGAAACCTGACGGTATGACCAAATTGATGTATGAAGTGTAAAGATCAATTATGTCAGAAAATTATCAAATGTGATAATTTCACCAACCTCAGGAACCATCTACATTAACTTTCAATCTAAGATTGACTCAACTTCAAGAGCTTTCCATTGGCACCTCTTTAGAGTCAATCCGCACAATCCGGAGAAAACTATATACTTTTGGCTGAATAATAGTTTTCTGCATCATTGAAGAGGAGGCTTCAAGAATCCCTTATCCCCCAAATTATTCCAACTTTTTTTCAAGGATGGTTGATAACAGTTGGTCAGTCATCTTTATCGCAATAAATTCAGGGCAAAAATAAAAATAAAAAATAAAAAAGAGGAAAGCAAACATCTTTGAAGGTGCAACAAAATGATACTGAATGTTTGTTCTCTCATACGTTAGATTTAGAGCCTCATTATTCGCAGGATTGAGGACTCTACGCCTTAATTTTCATTAATTTTCATTTTGTTATGACAAGAGATATAATGGAGGATGAAAAATTGAGTTTCGTTGTGAGGAATCTTTGTTAGAAAGGTAACATTCTCTCCTCTTTTATTTTAATTTTTTTTATGGACAATGAAGACGACGTGTCATTGAGAAAAGACGGAAAGAGACAAATAATACAAAGCATACAAGTCAAACAAACATTATTAAAATGAAGAAAAAAATGCCACACTCAATGACTGAAAAAGTAGGTGGAAAGCTAGTCAAGGTTTCTACCACTAAGCTACAATTACAATTCCTCTTTAATGCTGAAAAGACAGGTATCCTCTCTGTCACAAAGCATTCACATTGATGCAAAATACGCGCAAAGTTTTACAGATTTAAAATTGGATATAATATTATGAAGCAACTTTGTTCCTAGAATAAATGAAATTGACTACACATATACCAACCTGAAATTGCCTCGCGTCCTAAGCATAGTGGTTAACAACTTCACACGGGTGTGCTTAAATCTCTGAGCAGAACAGGGCATATTGAATGTACAGAAGAAAAGACCCATCAACAAAATATTACAATGAGGAAAGAAACAATAAATGCCAGAAGAATTGGGATGACCCCTCGTCTCTGCATGTGGAAGAATGAATACATGCTACAACCACAGTGAAGGAGGAGTAGAAAATTTTGCTATATCTGACTCCAGCTCTCTAGCATTAGCGAAACTTCATCTCATTTGGTTTGCTGCCCCTAAATGCTGAAAGAGAGAAGAATGACCTTGTTGCTGAAACACACAAAAATAGTACACGGTATTGGAATCTTATATTGGAGAATTAGAATAGGTGCATCAAAATTCTAGCATACAGGTGCAGAAAAGAATTTACAGTAAGAAACAATAGAAAAATGATCATGCATGTATATATTCTAGTCATGTGTGAAACCTTTAGTCGCAGGTAAGTCGCGGCTCTCTTGCAACTTGTGTGAACAACTCTGGCCATCGAATTTGCTAATATTTGATTGAGCTGTATGCACAAACAAACCCACAATGGTTAGAGCATGAGACTCCGCTAGGAATATGAAATAATATAACTACAGCGTCAACCCCCATTTAAGTGCATGAGTTATTCAGGGGAGGCAAACAATCCAAACAACTATTCTACTTTTCTCTAAATACCATCTGCATTTTTCTACTATCTACTTCAAAAACAAATTAAAGCAAAGGTTGGCTGGGAAAATATAAAAGGAGAAAAAGAAACAAAAGGAGGATGGAATTAAGCAATGAAAAGAGGAAACTCACCAGAGTATAGTTCACGGGCATCATAACCTTCACCTAAGGAAGTCTTCTGCTGCCCATAGTTCCTGGCATTAAGCGAAGCCTTTCTGAGTACACTGTCAGCATCATCTTCTCCTTCAGAGAAAACTGATGGGCTAGACCAACCAGTGGTATTTCCATCTCCTTTGCACTTCACAATGGACGGAGGATTTTCAGCATTTCCCCACTCAATAGTATCTGGTTCATTACTTTCTTCTTGCAGCATCTGGGACAAAGAATGACGGACACGAGGACTTGACAATCCAGCTGGTGCAACATTGGTTGAAGTGGTAAGTTGAGATGAGCTGTTGTTACATGGGGAAATGGGCTGATGCTCCTCTATTTCTACCCACGCACTTGGGGAGATAGTTGATTCTTCTTCAGCTTGAATTTGCAATGAGGATTCTGCCACATATTTTAAGTCATCATTACCATCAGCAGAAACTGGGTCAACATGCTGTGTCTCACTACACGTCAGGTTATCATTTATCAGAGCTTCTGATTCTACAGCATCATTTGAAAAGTTGACTGGCATAATAGCTGGCTCTTCAGGCTGACTCACAGTCACAGGGCCAGAAGCACTACCAATTACCTCAACTTCTTGAGTTTCAATCAGATTTCTGCTGTTTCTCAAAGATTCCTCTGATTGAGAAGAACTTTTCGTCTTGTTAACAACAGGACCGACACCAGGGCTAGTTCTAGAACCTTTGCGAAGAAATGGTTTCGATTCCACCGGCACTACACTGCTTTTCTTGGTGACCTTGTTGTGCTTTGCTGGAATTATATCAGAAAAATCACCAGAGGTTGTCACCACTTTAGGTTTTGTTGTTTTAGCATTCTTTTTCACTGCTTGCTGCTGCTTCTCATTCACTCCCTTCAAGCTCCGGTCATGAGTAATCAAGGATTCCTTTACATTCCTCTGTCGCGGCTGGGATCTTCCCTCTTTAGAGGTGGGCGGTGTTGGCTTGGGTTTTTGGCGAGTTGGGGTAGTGCTGGCAGAAGAAACCCCAACAGGAGTTTTAGCTGGTGATGCCCCTGTGGCTCTTGGTGTTGGTGTCGATGGCCACGACTTGCGTGTAGCAGGCAAGGGTGATGTTCTAGGCGAAGCCTTCTTTGTAACAGAAGGTTTTGAAGTCTCCTTTTTGAGGTTTGAGGGTTGAGATAATTTTCCAAGTGGTTTTTGGGGCTTCTGCGTAGCACGTTTCTTATCAGTATCATTCGCCTTTTTAGACGACATTTCAGCTTTCCTTTCATCAAGAATTCGCTGCATGGCTTTGATTTGGGCTTCTTTCTCTGCTCGCTTTCTAGAATTCTCTCCTCGTAGTTTTTCATCTCTCTTCTCCTTGTAGTGGTCATAAAAGCCACCTCTCTGCTCAGAAGGAACACTTCGATTTCTGCTAGCTTGAGGCTTTGTAGACTTAGAAGGCTTACGTTCCATCATTTTCATCAGCATCTGGTTCAACTCTGCTTCTCTTTCTCGGCTCCATTCAGTTGATGCTGTTGATTTTTGAATACTTTTCTCTCCCTGAATTACATTAGTGTCTTGAGCATCAATTGGACTAGAAGAATTTTTCTCAAACCTTTCTTCATTACCATCAAGTTTAGGAGTTTGAATAGTACTTTCACCCATGGGTAAAAGATCAGACTCTGATTTCACTTCTTCTGAACATGTTGGAGTCTCCCCATTTGCTACATTGCTGTGAGTCACTGGAGCGCAGTCTTCAGAGACAATTTCTGATTGGCATTGAGAGGAAGCCTCCCCCAAACCAGAACTCCATCTTCTCAATACGGATTTATTTGTACTCAAAGAGATATTTGTTAACGAGCTCCTTTTTTGAGCATCTGCAGATTGATCCCTTTGTTTGCTTTCGAAAAGACTTATTGCATCTTGAACACTCATCCTTTGTGCATTATACTCAGTTTTCTTATTTGATTGTTCAGATTCACCCTCTTCATTAGAAAAAGGTTTTTCCCGAGAAGGATAATAATTGAGGCTCTTAATGGTCAATGCAGCAGCCCTGCGAGATCCAGTTCTCCCTATTTGAATCCTCCTCATTGGAGATGCTGACCTTCTTGGTGTTGCACTTCTCATAAGACTGCGACTTCTTTCTGCAGATGTTTGGTCCTCATCACTTGATTCAGAAGACTCCCCGCTTTCTGTTGAACTCTGTCGCTCAACCTGGGCAGCTTTTGCAGGTGAAACACTATATTTTACTGGTGTAGCGGAATGTATTGGTTTTGATATCTGAGCACACCCATCCGTACCATCAACATTGTCGTTTCTAAAATGGCATGTAGAGGACAACTTGTCATCATTTGGACGATCACCACTCTTGCTTTCTTGAAACTGCTCTAAAAACTTGCACAGAGAATTCCTGCATTTTACAGTGATATTCCTTTTGTATGAACATTTAGCAAACAAACCTTCACTAAAACTATGGAAGAAGAGGAACATTACATACGTGTGCATAAAGACTGTTTCAAAGCAACTAGGAAGCTGAAATACCAGTGCACCTTACATCTATCTAGGTTAGCATCTTACCTGAAATCTCTTGTTCCAAAATGTTGAGAAAAGTCTGCTAAATTTGTGATCTCTTTAGAGGAGCAGGAAACATGAGAAGCCTTGTTAATGGCTCCAGTTAATTCCTTTTCTAATGCTGTGAGCCTCAAGTCCAAAGCCCGCAAAAGTTCGTTCCTGACAGCACAAATTCCTATAGTTTCATGCTGATGCAACTCAAATGAAATCTCAAATGAACAATAAAAAGGACATACTTTGAAGCATCTGGTGATGCAATCTCAACTTCAGACTGTTGACAAGAAATCATACACATTAGTTGCCAGATAACAGAATAGTTATTAAACCATACAAATTTAAACATCAAATTTGAAAGAAGGGGAAAGGGACCTGGCCATATAAAGAAACATGAAACTTTTTGGCTTCTTCCAGTTGAGATATTTCATTTTCAATAGTAGTAATGGTATGCATTACATCTGGTGAACCAGCAATTTGCAGGAATCTGAGAAGAATTAAAACAATTTATGTATCAGGAAATAGAAAATTAAAATGAATAAACAAAGAGATGATTTCACAACTGAACAATTATAGGAATTGTTGTAGTGGGAAGGGACAGAAAAAATGAAACACTAGAATGTTTAAAACCTGGTTAAAGTTGATTTCGTGAACCAGGCTGCACCATGCAGGCTTTCCGGAACTTGAAGTTTGAGGTTAGCATTTGACCCCTTACAGTACAATTCATTTAGTTCTGGTAAATGAGGCAACAGTGGTTCTAGTGGCCCGCCCGCTAACTTTTCTACTTCTCCATCACTGGAAACAAGCGCCTCATACCTAGAGCATCCGCCAGCATTTTAGTGAAGCAAATCAGAAATAAAAGTAAACACCAAATAAAACATATCCATTTATTGGTTTCATGTATATGTTGATTGAATCTTATCTCAAAATGACCCTTGTTTAGTTATGAAGTTGTTTAATTTGAATTTCAGCATTAACCCCATTCTAATTAAAATCAACATTAAACGTTTCTTAATGTTCAATATATACAGAAAGAATGAGATGCCAATAAGTCAATACAGCTGAAGAATAACCTGTTCTGGGATGGAAAAATCTGAAATTCAGCATAGTCTAAAGGTGTATCAGCATCTATTTCAGCCTCCATTTTCAAAGCGCTAACAACAGAAGCAAAGCAACCTGAATGGTGAAAAAAGGGGAAAAATAATTTAGGGAGAAAACGAAAAACAAAAAAGATAGTAACAATCAGTGACCTTTGACTAAGTACAGAGAAAGAGAGTGTGCCCAGGCTTCTATAAAGTAAAGAATTTATACTATTCTCATAGGCGCACCGACAGGTGAATTTAAAAAAATTTAACCAAAAAAAGAACAGAAGAACAAAAAGACCATGAGAGCATCGTTCCCTCTTTCTCACAAATGCAAGCACAGTTGCTTGCTACATTGCTTATTCATATCAACTCTACAAAAATATAAGATCGTTGGTCAAGAAAAGATACAGAAAAATTAGTCATTGAAAATTCAGATTCAGCTAAAAGATCTTCTTGGTCGAAATTCAGCTGAAACATAAAAATGAATGCAGATCTAGAAAATAAAAGCCCTGTCTCAGCATCGAAATAGAAAATTGAGAACCGAATCAGCCAATGACATGCTCAACACGCAGCAAAGGAGCAAACAAATCATCCAACTTTCAATGGTCCACTTAAAACACAAATCTCAAAATAAAACAAAATTTAAAAAGAAGCTAATAGATAATAATAATAATAATAATTTCAGAAAGATTGAATAAAATTGCTTGATTCTCATTTTCAATGATTTGAAAACCAAAGCAACAAGTTTAGAATTAGAATAGTAAGTTCGTAACCAGAAAATAAATAAAAGCGCAAAATCGAGCAAGTGAGTGAGCGAGTAGATGCTGCGAACTCAAAAGGAGGCAATGTTTACCTTAGCCTGAGAGATCTGCCAGTGCGAGTGAGTTAGTGAGTGAGTGAGTGAGTGAGTGATAGAGAGAGGCTCAAATGGCGAAATGTAGGAAGAAGAAGGAGCGTGTGAGAAGAAACAAGCAAAGTCGTCTCAGTATAACAGCAGCCACGGCTACTTCTACTCTCTCTAGTCTCTACACTAATTTAAGACTACAGAGAAAGCTAAAAGCCACCGCCTTGATTGCGTTACAGCCACTTTATACACCGCAACCCAATTTTTCGTTTTTTCTTTTTTTATTTATTTTTACAACACTCTCAATCTAGACATGTCATTGTCATATTCACAATCGTTTATTTTCTAAATCTAAAGAGTTATTCTCTGTCTTTTTTTTATTATTGAAATTTAGTAATTCATATTTAACAAACAAAACAACGATCTTAATAATCATTAATGCTCGTAATGAATTATTTACATAAAACAACTATATCATACGTGAATTGGATTAGTTAGACAAGATAGCGTGTTCGTTTCTTTTACTAATATAAATTTATTTAGTTTTATTTAAACTATTATTTATATTAATAAATAAATTATTTTAATTATAACATATGCATGATGAAGATTCCTTAATCGCACCGGGTTGATTAAAACACATCTGCGTGGTTTACCAAACCAAGAAAAAAGAAGAGATCTTTGTGGAGAGTATAGATGTCCTCTACTCCACTCCACTCGCGTGATTCAGACGCTCTACTCCAGCTTCTCTTTGTCTGCAAGTTTTTCCTCTTTTAGTTTTTGGGTTCCAAAAGCAACCGCCACTTGTTTGATTATTCCCACATCACATGCTCGTGTCGTGTTGCTTAAGAAAAATTGAAGGACCAAAATGACAGAGGCAGTAGTTTCCAAAGGCAAATTTATATATGTTCGTCTAGCTTGTCTTCAACAAGACGAAACGGTTAACAAATCTCATCCATATTGTCATCTCTTGTGTCAAATTATACCATATCTTGCCATATAGTCTATAAATTAATTTCGCTAGCAATCAGTGGTTCCCACGCTTGCGTATAATTCTCGTATCAACAGAGAGAAATTGTGAAATGCATCAAATGGGTAGGAATTGTTGATGAATGCATCAATAGTCAAATTATGTGGACAAATTCTGAGCGTTGATTCATTGTAAGTTCCACTTGCATCAACGAGTCGAGTCGGAATCATACAATGATCAATGGGAAGGAGAAGCAGAAGAGGACACCTATAATTTGCTATAATTGAAAGGTGAGGGGCGGAAGCAGCACAAGCTGCTGCGCAAAGGGATTGGATGTTACCAAATCGCAAGGCTGTCGCCTCCACTCATGCCCGCCATATATGATATGATGGTTAATAGTAGCAAGATATTGCGAGCCTTACAATCCAGGTAAAGTGTTCACACGAACTCAACTTTATCATCAGAGTCGGAGTGAGGTGGGCAAAAAAGAAGCCGAGCCCCCTAAAAAGGGTATAAAAGGTTGTACATGTGCATGTGGTCACACCAATTCCACTTCCACCATTTACAGCTCCATCAATAGCAACAATTATTGTTGAAGAAAATAGGATAAGACATAAAGAGTGCAGTTAAGCTGGATGAAAATGGCAAACAACAATTTACCATGCTGCGAATTAGATATATATAAAAAAACAAAGATTCGTACAGAGGCAAACTCAATTCTACATTTATATTACACCACCATGAAAAAGGCACTCTATAAATAAGTTTTCAAGCTCAACACAGACAGACACAACATGGAAGGAATTCGGATTTAGGTAAACAGAGGGTTTAATGGTACAAGGGCAATTCATGGTACAGTTGTTCTAGGAAGTCGTTGCAGTGGGGGCAGGCAGCACAATCAATTCAACCATCTAGAAGAACGACAAAGAATCTTTTTTTTTTTTGGGGGGGGGGGGGGGTGTGGGTTGTGGCGG